GAGCGTCAGGGCCTTGCCAGACTATCATGGTCAATGGCACTGCGATAGCTCGGGGAAGAGTGGCCCACTCCCGGGGGAAAACTTACCTAAAGGCCAGAGAGGAGTGGTGAGTGTGATGAGCCAGCGCCGGAAAAAGAGGACGAGGGCAAGCTGCTGCTGGTGTCGGGGGAAAGACGGGGCCCAGTTGGGGTGTCCCATCTCCCGGGTTTCGGCATCAATGAAAGGAAAGGAGCGACACACAGCAGCAATTCACCAGAGAATTCCGCTTTATTAGGGAAAGGTGCTGGGTTATATAGGAAGGGGCATGGGGTAATTGTGGTGTTACTTCTACGGGGCTGGTGGCTGTTGGCTAGGTGCTGGGATTGGGAGGGGGGCGAGAGGTGATTGGGCTTCAGGTGGCGCCGGCGGAAACCGAGGACCCCGAAGAGAAGCTGGAAGTTTGCCATCTTACTGGTGGGGGCCCTTCAATATTAACTTTTTGATATTTAGCCATAGGTTCCTGAAACTCTGGTTCATTTTTTTCAAACCTTTCACTGTCTGGTCTTCAGGTAGGGGATGTTTTATTGATCTAACATGTTCACTAAGCCTATCCAGTTAATTTAAAAAATTCAGGTAATGTATTTATCAGTTCTAGAACTTCAGTTTGGTTCTTTTTTATTCCTTTATGATTTGTCTTAGTAATTAATGGTTAGGCTCAAACTGCAAACTCTTTCTCTTGAGCTGTAGCTCAAATGTAGTTATTTTACCCTTAGGTGGGATTTGGGGGTTTTTCCCTGCAAATGTGTGGTTCACAGATCTGCCATTTATTTGGGCAAAATGTATATACAGAATCTAGGTGTAAGTCCAGGGAAAGGAAATCCCGGGCAAAATACCCCTGAAAACCAAAATCAGTCAAATGCAGAAATAAAGTTTAAAACCCGTTTATTGCTCACAAACTGCAGTCCCAGGCCTTCTCCTGCTCAAGCAGCAGCAACACCGGCCCTCCCCCTCACCTCTCAGGTACAGATAAGCCCTCTGTTGCCCAGGTAATCACCCATTGATATGGAGATGAACTTCTCCACCCCTGAGGAAAGATGCAAATGCACTAAAGCCATACTTCTTTCCACCTCTGAAGGCCTATTGATATGCAGATATACTAAAGCCAGGCAAGATATTCTGGAAATGTTTCAATTTTGCCCACACTAGGGTTCCTCTTTTCTGACTCCATCCTTTCTAGGGTTCTCCTTTCCAGTGGCTTTGGTTACCTTGCATCCTGTCCACTGCTTCTTTAGGCCAGAAAGGCCAGACTTTTTTTTCATTATAGTTTTAGTGGCCCTACATGTTGTGGTTTGAGGTCTGCCCTCTGGCCAGAAGTTCCAAGCAGGCAACTCACTTTGTTCCATTACTTCTAAGTGTTGATTCCTCTCCAGAATCAACCAGTTTTGGGTCATTTTCTAGTGATTTCAGGTGGTTATTTAATTTTTGCATTTTTGTCTATAGTTTATAATTGTTTTAAACAGGAGAGATGGTCTGTTGGGGGTTACTCAGCCAGTATTGGAAGAAGAACCAGAATTTTAAAGCTAAATATGGTGTGGTGAAGTACAATCTTAATGTGATCTTATTATTTTAAAAGACAGAATGCATGATGTATATAACACACAGACACACACAGTAACTGAAAGAACTGGTTTTTTTTTTTTGGTATCATTAATCTACAATTACATGAGGAACATTATGTTTACTAGGTTCCCCCCTTCACCAAGTCTCCCCCACAACCCCCATTATAGTCACTGTCCATCAGTGTAGTAAGATGCTGTAGAATTACTACTTGTCTTCTCTGTGTTGCACAGCCCACCCCGTGCCTCCCCCCACATTATGCATGCTAATCGTAATGCCCCTTTTCTTTTTCTGCCCCCCTTATCCCTCCCTTCCCACCCATCCTTCCCAGTCCCTTTCCCTTTGGTAACAGTTAGTCCATTTGTGGGTTCTGTGATTCTGCTGCTGTTTTGTTCCTTCAGTTTTTTCTTTGTTCTTATACTCCACATATGAGTGAAATCATTTGGTACTTGTCTTTCTCCACCTGGCTTATTTCACTGAGCATAATACCCTCTAGCTCCGCCCATGTTGTGGCAAATGGTAGGATTTGTTTTCTTCTTATGGCTGAATAATATTCCATTGTGTATATGTACCACATCTTCTTTATCCATTCATCTACTGATGGACACTTAGGTTGCTTCCAATTCTTGGCTATTGTAAATAGTGCTGTGATAAACATAGGGGTGTGAAAGAACTGGTTTTCTAACTCTAAAGTCTGCTTAATAAAACATTAGATTAAAATGAATGCATTTCCAATGTAAGTGTAGACAATTTACCATTTGTCAGAAGAAAATTCTTAACGTTAAGATATAGATGTAAGGAGATAAAGTTTCTGGGGTTTATTGTGACTATTTTCAGTGAAGTTATATTAGTAGCCATTATATTTTAAACCTGTATAGATTGCTAAAACTTTGGGCTTTTTCCAAGATTGAGTTCTGTTGTGTACTACATGTCTAATGTTTTTAACTTCTGATATATTTTGTTTGATTCAGTTAATATAGTAAAGATGATAATGGCAAAGTCCTCAAAGTGATCAATTTATGATTTTTAAAAATTTGGTGGATACTTTCCAATATAATTTCCACTTTCTAGGAAATGTTCCTTTCATGTTTTCTCATGTTACTCCTTAGGTTCTTTATTAAGGAGGAGGCATATTCTATGCTTTGATTTTACTTTAATCTCTGTGCTAGTAATTTTCCTCCCTGCTCTATCTCCTTTATTTTATATTTCTTTTTCTCACTTAAAAAAATTATTTTTTCATTACCTTTAATTTTTTTCATCCTTATGTGTAGTTGGAAGGAAAGATTAGGAATATTGATTACATTATTTGTTATTTCTCTTTACTGTTACACAATCTACATTTGCCTAGCCTTACCTTTCTTCTTAGGAGTTGTGAAATATATTAAATATTTTGCTCAACAGATAGGGATTTGAAGAAGTAAAAGCAAGGACTCTATATACTCTCATTCTATTGGGAAGGTCCTGCTTGTTGAATTTTTAGGTATTTCAAGATGTTCCAGTCAACTGACAAGGACTTCTCCTCACAGTGTCAGAACTGTAGTGATGATGAGAGTAATGCACCTAGCAAATAGTTCTGGTATGTAACAACTTTTGCATGTTTACTTCAAGAGAAAACTCTGTGGAGTGCAGTGGTATGCTATATTCCTTGTTTAAAACTTGGAAAACCATTTGCATGCTTTCAAAGTAGATTTTGAGGTAATAGCACTAGTCAAAGAATGGAGAATATATTTTAATCTGTGAAATAATGCAAAGATTTGTATATCTTTATTTAACTTTTAAAAATGGAAAAACAAAACTTATATTTGCATTCTTAGAACTTCCTTAATAACACAGTAATTGATTAAACTGTCAGTGTTTATTATATTGCTTACTGTAAAACCATTCTGGTACTATATGCTTTTTTAGTAAAATATCATTCAGAAATATGAATTATACTCCTTATTTATATAGCTTATCATTGGAGATTTATGTGCTTTTTACTTTTTTAAACTAAATTCTTCAGTTCTTATATTATAGATTATAAGTAAATATTTTAGAAAATGTATATCCAATTTGTAGTGTGTTTCCTTGGACAATCTGATTGTACTAAATCTTTAGAGTGATGCATGGTGTGGGTTCTTCTCTATAGGTTATCAATTAATTCTGTTGAATTTGATGAAGATAAGCGTAGAATGCTCTGCCATTTTACCATAGCTTACTCTTGTACTATACAATTGGTGAAGTGGTTATTGTTATGAGATTAAGTAGGTTGCTTCTTTGCAATAATAGTTAATTTTTAGATTTAATGATAGCACTTAAAAGATGCTTACCTTTACTTATATTTGGGAAAACTTTGTTTATTTTGACAAATATTATAAATAGTTTATTGTTATTTGTGGCTTTAAATAAGACCCTACTTTTTTTGGGTCATTTTATTGTGTAGAATATTCTATATTATCCCATAGTATGGTTTTCAAATTCAAAATAGTATTTACCAAGGGAGATTAAATAAGAAACAAAGCACCATCCAGCAAAGTCATTGTTGTTAATGCCTTAAACACATTATTTTCATGTTTTCTAAAGGACATCTAAGTCTACTTCAATAATCTTTTTTTTTCTCTGCTTTCAAAGTTTGTTTGTATATATATATCTCTTAAGTCACCTAGGTTGCCATCTTAAAAAAGGAAGCTGTATTTCTGAAGGTTTTTTTTTACTGTAATTAATGTAAACAGGCTTATTATGTAGATACAAGGACTTAAAAAAAAAAGCAAGTGATTTACCTTGGGCTGTAGGGTGCATGGTAGACTTGTAACTAAAGTTTCGTTTTGTTTTCTAGCCTTGAAATTTAATCCATACCAAGTAATATTTTCTGTATGGATAATTTTGGTCCATTAACATAAAAATATTGATGAATAAACTCGGATATTCTCTCACTTTGTCAATCTGCTGTTATTTTCTTCATTGTAATTAAGAAGTCATGCTATAGTAACTAATTCTTTCCCACACCCTTTTTTTTCCCCTTTAGAAAAATTGGAAGCTCTACCACCCACCCCAGGACAGCTGAGATATGGTAATTATTCTATAATTGTTAAATATTTATGCATCTATCTTTTGGACTTGCAATAACTGTATCATTCATTGAGAGTACAGAAGAGGCAGTAAAGTAAACTTTCCAGACAGACTGGATTATCCCATTTATTATGCTGAAGCAAAGTTTATAAACTTGATTTAAGACATATCACAATATTATGGAATTTCTAATATTGTTAAATATTTTTACTAGTTATAAATAGAATTGTACTTGTGGTAGAGGTTTTCTTAATTCCCAAAAAAGAGATTATATTACTTTAGTTTGGTTTTTATTGGGGAATTGCAGAACTATAATTGCAAAGGTCAGGCCAGGTAGAGCTCTTCTCTGGTGGAGAAGATAACTATTTGTAGTAATGAAGAAGATAAAGTTCATTTAAAACTGCCAAGAAAAAGAACCTTACGGTGCTGCTGGTGTTCTTGCTTTATTGTGATAGGAGCAAATATCGAAGGCCAACATGCAATAATAGAAAGCAGTTTGGGATCTTCTTTTAACAACAATGAAAGAAGAGAATTATTTAACATCACAGTGAATTTGAGTAGGTTGTTAAGTTAAAGCTAAATATTAGTGTTATTTTCTAACAACTGTTAAGTTGTAGAATAGTATTTTCCAAAGCAAGTTGAAGAAGTCCTGAATTGATAGGGGATCATTACATACTGAAGAGCAAACTTACATTATTAAAAAAAAGAAAAAAAAAAAACTAACAGCCAGTTCCTTTTTCACTCAGTGGTAGACTATAATGCACATTAGAAATGATAAATTTTTCCCAAATATCAAAATAGTTTAAGAATTTTTTAAGATCTTTCTTTCCTGATTATCTTTTCTGATTATCCTAGATTCATACACACTGTATAATACTATTATTTCTTTTGGTCATAATTAAAACTGTATATAGGGTTGTCTTATCATACCCAAATTCTTGAGGGCTGGTAACCAAGTCTTATTTATCTTGTATCTCAAGTGCCCAGTGAAGTGTCCAGTACATGTTTATTTAGCCTTTTGAAAAATGATATTTTTTTCCTTTGGGTTAATAATGAATTTTTACTTATAAGATATGTTTATTTAGGTGAAACTATAAAAAACGTGATGTATTTTATAGTTCAAAATTATTATTATAACAACATGCCTTGGTTTTACTGACCAGGTTTTTACTAGGTTATCAATTAGTCTAATCTTAATTTTAAAGCTTTAGCACATAATTTTAAGATATTTGTAACTGGCCAGTTATAGAGATGCCATCTAATTAACCCAAAAATGTTAGATAATCCCAAAGGTTTCATAGTTACTCTGCCATATTTACATTTCAAGGACAGTTAAGATAATTTGGGAGACTTAACTCTAGAGGTATATTTAACGACCTCTCTCTTCACTATAAATGTTTCATTTAGTGAATTTAAAAATTTTTATTATACTCTTTTGACCTATCCAATTCACATTACGTTTTTGGAAACTGGAATTGTGTATGTTTTTGAAGCTGCTTATTATAAAATTTTTAATGTCTAGTACTTATGCAACTAGATTTAGGCAAAATGTCAAAGAACTAAATCTAAGACTTTTTAATTGAAAAATCTCATTTCATTAATGTGTTATTTGATTTTTATCATCTTTAAAAGCTTTTAAAATAATATTCTTTATAATTAAAAAGATGCTGCTTTTTATCTGGACCTTCTTATGATAACAAGAAGAAATCTGAAATGACCTAGGATATTTGCTGTTTTCTTGTGATTTTAGTCTTCAGTAGTGGTTGTGGGTAGAAATGTTTTTTTTTTTTCCTGCTAGTTAACTTCTCTCATTTGTGAGAACTCACTATAGTACTATCAAACTTTCATGACTTCTGGATTATATTTTAATTATACTTTGTCAGGACTTAACTGCCTTGGAAAGGAAAAAGGCTGTAATGTTACTGAACACATGCAACAATTTGATTTAAGGGACTATTTTTTGGATGTGGCATAAGACAGAGAGCTTTGATGTTTATCTAAAATAAGTCCTCAGTTGAAGTGATATTGACTATACTTTGGCTGTTTCATAAATTGAATAAAGTCACTTAACTATCCTCAGCTTTTAAAAATCTCTTTCTCAGTCTGCATTCAATTCTTTCGATCTGAAATTATCTTTCTTTCTAGGTTAGTGGTTCTCAGCTTAATTAACTGTTTATTGAGCATCTGCTATGCACTAGGCATTCTGCATGTGAAAATATATAAAGAAATATATAGGTATTAGTTCTTCCTAGCTTCCTAGTTACATCTCTGTTATCTCAGGTCATTCAGATTATGTACTAGATAGATGAAGTAAGGTGTACCTTGGGTAGAAAGAAGCTAAATTACATTTTGATTTAAATCAGATATTGTTTGCTTATAGTTTGTGCAAGTGTTCAGAGATAGCAATGCATGGCAAAGGAGAAAAAGGATTTTGCACATACCTGTCAACTACAGATGAGATAATCACATTTTCTAACATTTGTTTAAAAAATTGTTTAGTGAGTAAAAGTAACCAAATAGCTTCCCTGAAATTTGATTCAGGGCATTTTTTAGATTATTTCTAATGTGGGGATTAATTTTATGATATCAGTCTTTAGGTATAAGACACAAGTTGGTGACTATAGCAATTAAACAGGCAAAACATGTTATTTATAATATGTATTTATTTATTTGTTCTGCCATTAACTGTATGTGATTATGTGTGTCTGTGTATGTTGCCAGCAAGAAAACAACACAAAAGCTGAACACAATTCATTTTTACATGTTAAATGTTTTCTTCTTTTGCTTATTTCCCCAGTATAGCTTCTACCAAGTAGTTAAACTTATAACAGGAGCAAAGTCTTTTGGCTATGGGGAATGGAAAGCAAATTGCAGAGATTATCAAGTCTACTTAGTAAACTTTAAGTATGTGGTCTGTTTTTGTCATTTTAAAGTAATCGGAATCTTAAAATATATTTTTCTGTTTTTAATGTTTTTCAGTATTCATCCACAATGCGATACCTTTCATAGGGTTTGGTTTTTTGGATAATGCAATTATGGTTGTCGCAGTAAGTTCTTTCTCTCACCCCTTCTATTTTGAGTTAATAAAGAAATTAATGTGGTCTAAATTTTCCTAATAATTTACATATCATAGATAAAAAGTTTCAAATAACATCATAATGACTGAAGCTATTTTTTACTATATTTCATGTTAATTATTATACAGTTTAATTTTAAGGCCTCATATGTATTAGTCATTAAAACTTGGTAAGTAAGCCATTGACAATAATAAACACATATCATTGGGTCTATATTATCCTGTTCTAGTTTCAACATTCTTATTACAGAAAAAAGTATGTAAAATTTCTGATATTCTTTAATTGTTCAGCAGTTCTCATCACATATGTTATTTGATTAGTTTCTTGTACAATTTTCCTGTGCAAAAATGTTTTAAAGGGTGTTTTGTTATGAATCTCTCCATTTAGCCCAAAGGTATATTGTTTCATTTCAGAACACTGTGAATATATCCCCCTTCTGTCTTGTTCCATACTAATATTTTTAAAAGCTCCCCTTCACTGCAGCCATTTTAATGTAAGAGTGTTCCTTGAGAGGTTGTTTAGTCTCAGGGTTGGCTGATACACCTTTCTTACTGTTACATGACACCTTTTTAAGTGAATACCAATATTGGATCCATACTCTGAAGTCAGAAATAAGTCCATGATTAAAATGCAAGTCTTCTGAAGCTGTCCACTCTCATCACTGGCTCTAACTTTTTTAAAAATCTATAAATTGCAGCTGTTGTGTAGGAGACTTTTCAAAAAAAAGGAATGATTTTAGGATTATTGAATGTGAGGAAAATACATTTGAGAGTTGCAAGGTTTTTTTTCAGTGTTTTGGAGCTCACGTGTTCTACAGATGGACATAAATAGAATATTTGGTTTTAAAATAGGGATAAAAGTAAATTTACATCGTATAGATTATAAACTCTGCTTAAAGAATATCTAAAAAAATTGGTTCATTCAATAATGTTTTTCTTTGCAATACAGTCTCACTTTATGTCCAGATTGATGGGGATTAGGTATTCAGAAGGTCTAGCATTCACCTGGGTTCACACAGCAGGAAGATCTCCTGCTCTGTAACAGTCACAGAAGATAGTGTAGTATGCACACAGCTTGAAAGTGATGAACATCCACTGGATATTCTTTAGCAAAGCCTCCAACATATAATTTCAAATGCTTATTTTTTGACTGATTATGACATTTTACTAGTATATATAAGAATCAAATTGCCAATTTATATATTTTTGAATGTGAGAAACCTGTTAACCCCTTTGAAACACACTGCCTTTTCTGAAATTACTAAAATCTGAGTTAGTTGGATTATTTAAATACTTAATGTAATCAAATCTAATGTAATGAAAACCTCATTAAGATGAATGTTAAGACTTGATATGTTATTGAAGAGATTGTCTGAATTAAAGCTTCTCTGTGACAAATACTTCTTTTGATTTTATAGGACACATTCAGTATTTTAGATTCTATAGACAGCAAGTATATATACTACTGTCTTAGTAATTGTTCTTTCCATCTCAATAGGGCAGACCTTAGGTAGGCAGACTTTCAAATGATGAAAGACTACCCTTGCTACGGGAAGTGTTGAGATGCTGTATTTTGCGTAAAGAAGGGTGCTGGGAGATTTTAAATAGGGTTCTGAATGGGGAAACTGGGTAGCTTCTTAGATCATGAATAAGACCTTCACAGGATTATCATTTCTTTGAAATAAATATCTAAAGTAACAGATAATCTCTGTATAAAGTACAGCTACCAACAAAACACCCACTTTCTAGTGTCAAGTTATGGTAATACTTTTCACTATTTTGTGTTACTCAGGCCTGTGTCTCATTATTAGTATAAGAGAGTAGACTGTTTTTCCAGGCCTGAAGGTAGTTGATTCTAAATTAATAATATTTGTTTTTTTAGTTTACATTGAAATCCATTTTCAGGGACTTATCAACAGTTTTGTATATACAATACTGAAATAAATGTTTAAATTAGTGGCTTCAATATCTGATTAAGAGTAATAATTGTGGCAAAAACATTCTATGATAATTGCAAACTAATTCAGAGGCAGTGAGATTACACTAGTCTATTACAAAGAGGCTTTGTAATAGACTGCTGAGGCTAAAGTGCATAAATATTCTAACTGTAGAATCTATGAATAAGATAATAAGTGAGCATTATTATCTTAAGAATGTTTTCGCCTATTTATTTTTTTAAAACACTGATAGCCTTCTAACATTGTGGGACAGCTATGACTATTTTAAGATAGTTAAGAAGATACTTGATTCTTTTCTATCACACTATAGACATTTGATGTTTTCCTCTTTCCCTGTTGTACTCTATTGGCTGCTACCATAGTTGTAGTTGTAAATTCCTGTATAACTTCTTGTAATAGATTTGACCTTCATTATTGGCAGCTCTTCATCCTCAGTCTTTGGTTTCATAATTTCTTACTATATTTTTATATTATTTTGATTGCTTTTTATAACTTACATTTTACTGGGTTGTGTAGGATAGAATTTATTAGAATTCTAGAGTAGATTAATGGTAGTAGATTAATTCAGGTGGTATACCAGGTTAACTTTGACAACTATTAATAGATTTATTTGTAATTTCTACCTCAACTTATTATCATAAAATTTGATGTGATTATGGGAAAAAGTAAAGAGTGGTAGTTCCTTGTCCTTGTACTGTCTTTGACTTTATATAATGATTTTCATGCCATTAAAAGGACCTTCAGATTTACTAAATTCAACCAAATGATTAAATGCTTAAATGCTTTTTAAATGCATGTATTGCAAACAGATTCTTCTTGGGTCATTCCTAATGATTCATTGCTGCTTAAGATGCTGTTTTATTTTTATATACTGTAGCTGTCAGATGCCTCTCTTCTATATTAGTGTTCCAGGTTTTTTTGGGTTTATTTTTTTGCACCCATATATAGAGATACACATCTTCAGAGCAGAACCAAAAGACCTAGAGGAAAGAAAACTGAGGAAAACTTAACTCAGCTTCTCTTCGGTTTTGTAAATAATTGAGTAATGCAGTATTTCTACATAAGAGAGCATCTTTTTTTTCCTTCTCAAATATCATTGATATTTTAAAAATTCTTTAGAAATTTTCAAGCATTAGTATTCAAGAGAACTTTTGAAAATTAAGTCTACTTATATCTGAATTGCCTAAAGATTAGAATTGATTTAGATCCTAGGATTTCTTCCTTATTCTATGTAATAACCACTACAATAGTTGAATCCTTACTTCAGTTCCTTCTCTTTCAAGTGGAAGTAAAAATACAAGCCCCTCTTTTCTTCAGATGAATGGGATAGATGTAGAAAGTCTTAAACTCTCTAAATAAATAAATCAAGTGGAAATGCAGTGGAGTCTCATTTTTACTGTACCTCTTACTGTATTAAGTGTTACAAGGATAACTTTTTAACTCTATAGTCTCTTGGGTCCCCAAATACTGATTTAGTTTGTCTTTTTAATCTTTTGATAGAGTAAAAAACAATAGTCTATGTGTATCATTCAGAATTTAAAATTAGTGAGTTGTCTTCTTTGTGTTCAAAGAGCTTTATAGTGTCTGTCTTTGTGATAGGAAAATATGAATTCTAGATTTTAATGATGAATTTTATTGCCAAGTTCGTAGGTTTTTTTTAATGAAAGCTTAATATTAGTGAATAAAATGTTACTGATGTTATTTCTGCATGAATGCATATATTTAATAGTTAAGTGAATTACTGCATTATATGTGAATATTTCTGCATATTTAATATATGTAATTTTGCTGCAATAACATGTTGGTTTAACTATTTTGTCTGTTTTTATTAATACTTTGCTATTCTTTTATAGTCACTTAAACTTTAATTTTTAAGATTAATTTCTTTGTAATCATTTTTCAGGGAACACATATTGAGATGTCTATTGGAATTATTTTGGGAATCTCAACTATGGCAGGTATTTAATAATAATGTTATTATTGTCTGTATATTTATTAAGCATGTCAGTAGGTTAGGTTTAGAAGAGGATAATTTATTTGAGTTCAAATTTACTCATTGAGATATCTGTCTCCTTAATCCTATTATTCTAATTCCTGATTTTGTATATGTAGCACTTTTTTTCTGAGAAATTTTAGGTGTATTATGTTAGTTAATGGGTAATAATACTCCATTGACAATGTTCAAGCAAATTATCCTTTTAATTCCCCAAAACCTTTCTACCTTTTGTCTCTATTAAGTGATTTGTTCTCAAGTTCAATTAGAAAAGTCAAAGAAGAAAATGTATGAGTGAAAATCTGATTTGGTTCTGTTTCTTTGTCCCCCCTCCCAATTACCACACTTTACTTTATGATGGTGAAATTTGGGGATGGTTCTGTGTTGTCTTTATTGTATAGAAAACACAAAGTAGATGAGTTAATGAATGAGACGGTTCTTCTCCATGATTTTCTTGAATTTCAGAGCTATATATTTGGCTTTACTCTATAACTTCCAAATATCCAAATTCTCTTTAACTAGTATTATGTGAAAGTTACAACTACAAAATATTGTATAGGTGTTTAATTTTGAAACTAACATGAAAACTGGCTACCACAACAGAAAAAAAAACCTACTACTTGATGAAAGTAGAATACTATAATCTCAGAAGAATTGTGTTCTATTTTGAAATCTCTAGATTCAGAGCTATCCAGTGAATTAATTTAGATATGTGTTGTAGTCTGACAAATGTGATAACACTTCTAAATCAGTTCTTTATTGGTTATACAGAGATGTAATGACTTTTCTTACTTGCACAATTCACTTGTTCATTTTTCAATTTTTAAGCTGCAGCTTTAGGAAATCTTGTGTCAGATTTGGCTGGACTTGGGTAAGTTCATTCATTTATTAATTTATTCATGTGTGCACTTAATTTGCACCCTTTCTCTTCTCCATTCTCTTTAACTGAGGTTTTTTTAAAAAGGGATTTTTGTGTGTGTGTTTTAGAACTGAATTTTTAAATTTAATATTACTAAATAATTACTAAATCTTTGGTGTGCATCAAATATAAATGCCTGGGTTACACCCTAGAATTAGTGTCTCTGGGAATGGGACCTTAGCATTTGTGTTTAATAACCTTCTCAAGAGATTATGATATATACAATAATTTTTTTTCTGAAACTACCATAATATAAGCAAAGCTGAATTTTCATCTACTGAAGTATTTCTATGTATTACATAGATATTTCCAAGGGTGAGGCAGGTTTAAAAAGCAAGACCGCAATCATTTTTCCATCCTACCTTTCTCTGCTAAGCCCAAAGGTAAGAGATATGACTCAGATGTGAGGATACTAACTGGGCATGTTTTCTAGAGAGAGAAACTTTCAGAGGAATAATGGCCAAAGCACACATGGGTTTGGCCACTCTTTGCTGTCTGTTCCATTTAGCAGGAATGATGAAACAAACTGAAGATATACTTAGAAAAGGCCAGCTTTCTCTTTTTCTCTCTTTATAATCTCTCTCCAAGTGGCAAATGGCCTGAGCTACTCCCTGAGCTTGGGGAAGGCTGGCAAGGATAAATTACACTAAGTTGGCACTAATTATTGTGATAAACATACTCTCTTTTGCTCAGTCTTTGGCTCTGTTTCTCCTTTCCTTGGTTCATTAGAGTGGTAAGTTTTGTAATTTGGATTTGGGTCTTATAGAAGTCTACCTAACCATGTAATCTAGGAAAAGGCAGCTTTATAAGTGATCTAATCATGTATATTAGACTTCTATGCTGGAGTTTGGGTTTTTTTCTTTATTTGATAAAACCAAATAATCTAATTTTAAAACCATTTATTTTTAGATTGCATCATAAAACAGTTGTTTTTGTTTAGAGATAAAGATTGTGTTGGGAGCCTTTAAGAACTATTTCTCTTCTACCTTAAAAAAAATGATTAAATAACAAACACCATTTTTATCAATTCTTAGATGCTTAGTTTTTTTTTTAGAACTTATCATCTGATATGGGCATCTTATAATTGATGGTATGCATAGTTTAATTGGCAATTTTTTTCTTTCTAACAGTATGATGTACGGTTATATCTATCTAATAAGTAGTGGTGACTTAGATAAGTGACTTAGAATTGATAAATACTTGAAATTGCCCTGATAAATTAGGCTACTTTTCTTATACATCAATCTGATAAATTTTGGAAACTTTTGCTTTCTAATAACAGTTATTAATGTCATATGTTAAATTGCTTTGCTTTAAATTTGGAGTGTGTAAATTATAATTCTTGTAAAAATTTTTATATTCCTTGAGTTGGTCTTTGGAAAATAATTGCTCCAAATCAGTTAATTTGCCTATGTATTAAATATGTTAATATTAAAATACTTTTTAATTTATGCACAGTAAAATGAGAATTATGAAAATGTTTACTTTTCTAGAGAGCCAGTTGCAGTTGTAATATTACTGTGTTTTCTTTTGTAGTAACCAGTTTTTTACCATCTGAGGATATTTGTGTATCTCTTTAAAAACTCATGTTCTGTCCTCTTGTTTTTTTAAAGACTTGCAGGCTATGTTGAAGCTTTGGCTTCCAGGTTAGGCTTGTCAATTCCTGATCTCACACCAAAGCAAGTTGACATGTGGCAAACACGTGTTAGTACACATTTGGTAAGTACTTTATATGGTTTATGATGATGAATTCAAGTAGCCAGAGCAAGACACTATATAGTTCAGTCCCTTGTGAAATTTGAGACTAAAATTGATTTCAGTGGAGTTTTTACCAAAAATTGTTCAAACTTTGGCAGTTTTCAGAAGATAACTAATTTTTTATTGACTTTATTTTTTATAAGTGTACTTATTTTGAAAAAATTGTCCATTTGATTCAGTTAATGTTAAGGAACGTGTTATATGCTTAACATTGAAAGATGGAAAAATTAATAATAAATTATAGTTATTTTTGTGGAATGTTAGGTGAAGAACCAGACTTGTAAAAAATTACTATTTAATGTGATGCATGCAGTTAGAGAACTATACACTAGATACAGCAGTAGCACAAGTAAGGTAACTAATATTTTGTGGGGAGAAATTTCTTTTGGTGGGGAGATTTCTCAGTGATTTGTTGCATCTAAGCTCATTTTGAATTGTTGATGAGACATTTACTAGGTGAACAAGAGAATTCCAAGTATATTGACTAGCAAGTAGAAAGGCATGATAAAAGCAGGGTGTATTCAGAGCAATACAAGAAATTAGGTATTGTTCAAATGTAATATGTAGCAGTTGTGGTTAGAAGTAGCAGAAGAAAATACCATTGGAGAAATAAGAATGGATCAGACAGGAAAGACTTATAGAAGCTATGAAAAGGACTCTAAACTTCATATCTAGGTGCTGGAGTGCTAGTGAAGAATTTTAAATAGAAAGGAAACTGGATACTACCAGTTAAATCAAGAAGAAAAGGAGGAAAAACAAATTAGTAAGGGAAGACAGTGAATTATGTTTTCAACATGCTGAATTTCAGATGCTGGTAGGACATTCAAATGGTGATACCTAGTAGGCATTTGGATTAAAGGTCAAGAATTAGGTCTGAATTAGAGATGATGGGTATTATTCATTCACTCAAAAATTACTTATTGTTTACCTACTTATGCGGGTACATAACCAGGAATATTGAGTATATTGATTAATGACACAAGGTCATTTTTCTGGAGGATCTTACTTTGTAGCAGATGGGAGAAAATAAAAATGTCTGACAAATAAAATACTTAATATATTAAAAGTTTGCAAATGTTATGGGAATTAAAGAAAAAAAAAAACAGGGTAAAAGAGTCTGGGAGTGCTAGGATAGAGACCAATTGCAGTATTAAATAGGATGGTCACTCTAGGCCTCAGCAAAAAGTTGGTGATAGTTAAAACCATGGGAGAAGGTGAGATTAAGTAGGACAGTGGTTCTCAAAAGTATGATCCCAGAGCCAGCAGGGTCAATATTACCTGAGAACTTGTTAGAAATGCAAATTCTCAGTCTCTACCTTAGACCTGTTTCTATGTAACCAATTATATGTGTGTGTTCATATCCTGCAATTTGTAGATTAAATTGAAGTGAGACTAGCTAGGTAATACTAACCAAAGTTGTTGAGGTATCAGGATATTCTAAGATTCTAGCAATTTGGCATAACATTTTAGCACTACAGTTGAATCAAGAAATTATTTTCTTAGAGTTTTCTCTTCTCACATAATTGATAAGTCTGTTTTCTTTGTATAAGCAGCTCCATTCCTCTCTTCAATGACAAAGTTTCCTCAATTATTAAACTATACTTATATTTATATATATATATATTTTTGGTGTGTGTGTGTGTGTGTTTCAGTAAATCCCCCACCAGCATATGGAGTGATTCTATTCCTTAGTTGTTGATTCTGCTTATTTTAGGTAGTCAAGTCATCTACTCTGTAACATTACATTTGGTTACAAACAGCCAGAAGTAGTTGTAGTAGTCAGCTATCTATCCATGACATAAGCTAACTCTGAAATTCACCCACAATAGAAAAAATGCAAATACCCATGCAGGTTTCAATTAACAAGGTTGTATTTTAAAACCTCATTTGTAAGTTGGTTGTTTGAAACTTGGAAAATACTTTCTTGCAGAACAGTATTAGAGATCAAGTTCTTAGCTGCAGTGTAGTTAACTATAAGGTCTAAAGCATCATAAGATCTGATAATAATGTTACAGTTGATCCTTGAACAATTTAGGGGTTAGGAGCACCTATTGCCTGTACAATAAAAATCTGCATATAGCTTTTGGCTCCCCCAAAACCTAACTACTAATAGCCTACTGTTGACCAGAATCCTTACTGATAACATCGTTGATCAATGACTATTTATATGTTATATGAATGATATGCTGTATTCTTAAAGTAAGCTAGGAAAAAGAAAATGTTATTAAGAAAATCAGGAAGAGAAAATACATTTGCAGGACAACACTATTTTTTTTCTTTTAAAAATATGTATTTTATTTTGGTTTTATTTTATTCTAATTTTTTTTAAATTGAAGCATCGTTAATATACACTTTTTATTAAAGTATTGTTGATATACAATCCTATAAAGGTTTCACATGAACCACTTCGTGGTTACAACATTCACCCCTATTATCAAGTTCTCCCCCCACATTGTAGTCACTGTCTATCAGCATAGTAAGATGCTGTAGAGTCATTACTTGTCTTCTCTGTGCTGTACTGCCTTCCCTGTGACCTACCTATATTGTGATTGCTGATTATAGTCCTCTCCCTCCCTCTCTGCCCACCCTCCTGCACCCCTTTCCTTTGGTAACTACTAGTCCCTTCTTGGAGTCTGTGAGTCTGCTGCTGTTTTGTTCCTTCAGTTTTGCTTTGTTATTATACTCCACAAATGAGTGAAATCATTTGGTGCTTGTCTTTCTCCACCTGGCTTATTTCACTGAGCATAATACCCTCTAGCTCCATCCATGTTGTTGCAAATGGTAGGATTTGTTTTCTTTTTATAGCTGAATAATATTCATTAAGTATAGGTACCACATCTTCTTTTCAGGAAGGAGAGGCAGGCATACTAGGTGTAACATTACAGAAATACATTGTAATTTCTAATTTTTTTGATTTTTCATTTATCTAAAAATGTTTCTATATGGTACCAATCCTCCTCCTTCCATTTGCTTTAGCTTCAGTGCCCATATCATAAAAGGGTCCAAGTCATAAAGGACATCAGAAGCAGTCTTGAGTATTTGAAACTCTGCCAGATTGTCTAATGTCAGTTTCTTTGTTGTCTCTGCTTCTAATGCATCTCCTTCCTCGTTTTCTGGCACTAGTTCAGAAACACTCATCTTCATTTAGTCATCTTCTGTTAATTCCTCTGGTGTGGTGTCTTTTATTAGCTCTCGAATTTCTCCAAGATATTTTATGGTAGTAAATGACAAAATAGACTAGTATCTACATATATTTTATGCATTTGTGATGTATCTGTCTTTTTCTTAGGTTTTTTGTATTTCTATGCTATGTGGTTCATTTGTGAGTTTTTTCAAAGTATTGCAAATCTCCAAAAAATTTCCAATGTATTTATTGAAAAAAGTCCATTTATAAGTGGACCCATGAAATTCAAACCTTTGTTGTTCAAGGATCAAGTGTAACTTTGTTTAAAGGAAAAATATATTTAAGGTACTGGATCAAGGAGCCAGAAAAGTGTATCCCACTTCTTTCCTCCCTCTCTGATCTAGTGATATTATGCCCCATTGAGAAAACAGGATTAGCAATCACTGACTGGCATTCATAAAGTGAGGGGGAAGGAAAGCCTTATTACCATGGATGATAGTAAAAAGTATGCTAACAGAGTGGGTGAGAAGTGTAAGTACAGCCTATTAGCTATGGTTGTTTCATATATATGGGAAGTCAGGAATCTAAAATAGAACATAGTCTTTCTATGCATATGTATGAATACAAATGTTATCTAAGGTCAAAATAAGAATCTAGGATTAACTCTATCACATCTGCAATGAAGAAAATTTCTGCTTATTGAAACTCTGTAGTAATAAAAACTTTTAAGATGTGCCATGATGATTATGACAGTGCTGACTGTGAGTATAAAGCATGGGCATACTACCACCACCACCAACAACAAAAAACCACAAATAACAGAGTTGAAAATTTCTTATACAAATTATCATCAAAACATTAATGTCTACTGCTGAAATGTGTTAGACAACTGTAGGGTCTGTTAGATAAATGAATTGTATATGGAAAAGACATTTTATTCAAGATTTAGTAGTTATCATAGTACCTATAGTGTTTTGTTTATTTGTGTTTCTCTGTATAACTAAGTGGAAGTTCCAGGAGGAGAGAGACAGACTGCACTTGATTAGTCTCTGTCTCACTGGTACCTAGCACAGAGTTTGGTACATAGTACATTCTCAATAATGTTTATATGAAGAAGTGGAACTTAATTGAAAAGTGTTAAACTTGGTAGTTATCATAGGAATGCAAATTGTAAAAACTATTTTACAAAATAACAATTTTTAAAAGGTCACAATGTAGATGAGGTTGCAGAAATATTGGTGTGTACTTATATGCATTTATTTCAGTAGGTGTGTATTTGCAATTTTGTCTAGAATAGACAGCATGGGAATATCCTATGAATATGCACAAATATTCATATTATTTGATTTTAAAATAAATAATTGGGGAAGAACTATACATAGAAATGCTTATTGTTCTATCACAATGGTGAAAAAGAAGAAATGATTGTTAATAGTATAAGGAGCTTCAAGTAATTATATGCAGTGAAATTTAGAAACCTTTATATATTAAGTTTATGAAACAGTTTGGAAAAGAGATTATAACATGTGGCTATTGGGGGAGGAGTGAGGCAGAAAACAAAATTATGTTTACATATTGATTAGACTTACATACAATTAGTTTTTTTTCTTGTCATTCTATCTTCTGACCTTAAAATATATGTACAATTTTAAAGTGTTTTTATACTTTATATCTCTTGGATCTTATTTTTATGGCAATAAAAAAATTATTTCCTGGTTGATTTGACCTTTAAATATTATTTGTTCTAGAATTTTTTTTAGCTTATTTTTATATTTAAGTTACTATGATGGAAAGAAATGCAGTCACAGCTGAATTTTATGGTACATAGTAATTGTTCATTATAGATACTTAAGCAAGGGTTCCTCTTTTAGGGATAAATTAACTTGCAAAAAATGTTTTATTTCCTTAGGGCAAAGCTGTTGGGGTGACTATTGGCTGCATTCTAGGAATGTTTCCTTTGCTTTTCCTTGGAGGAGGTGAAGAGGACGAAAAACTGGAAACGAAAAATCAACCCTCTTAGAGTACCTGTAAAAAGTCGTAAACTAATGTTACCTCAATTATTAAATATGCTGTCACAACACTTAGGAATTAAGACAGTAATAGTGTATAGATAATGGGATCAAATAATTCAGCATGTATTATGGAAAACACTAACTTATTGTGGCTTGGTTTTCTTAGAACTTCTTTTTAAAAAAACTGTTTAGTATCATTATGTGTAAATTGTTGAAATGCTTTTTCATCAATGGCAGTCAACATTTTACCTTTTTTGCTCTCTTTCTTTATATATCAAAATATCATTTTAGTATCAGTCATTGACATACTGTACTGACTTGGGGTTTTCATATTGTTCCTTAATGTGTACATGCACGAAAACGTTATCTGTTTTTGTTGTTCCCTGTAGTTACAATTCAACCTTAAGATTTTTTTCTGAATTACCTAGGATGTTTAATATCAGTTACAGATTTTTTTTACTCTTTTTGGCAACATCAAATCTGTAACTGTTTCACAGTAGACATTTACAATCATATAATCCAGTCATTTTTTAAAACTCTCACAAGTATTCAAAATGGACACAGACTAATGATTACTTTAGGGTCTTTTTAATGGGTATTGTGGATGTACCAAGGAATTTGACATGATACTTGGAAATGAAAAGGCTAAAAAAAAAATGATTTTTTTAGAGAAGTAGAAAATGGGAACTGTGAATAAGGTTTATGGCATAAATGGCGAAGGTGAAGTGATGTTTGTAAGGTTAATGAGGTACAGTTATATTGTTCAGGAAGGAATTCCCACCCCCCCAACAAAGTGTCTTCTTACCATCTGAATTCAGTGAGACTCAGTACTCCATACTCTTAATCCTAATGTCATTGTATCCTGTTCAGTGAATTTTATTTCTGAGTAACTTATTTTGAGGTGAAAACTATTTTATGTTTTCCTATTTGCTATATACAGAATAATAATCAAAAGTTACTTTCTTTCCCCCTTTTTTTGGTCTTTTTGTCTTCTTTTCTGGTATTTAAATCATATTCTAGATTGAAGTTACTTATTTCTGGCCTTTGTATCTGACTTAAGTATAACCATGTATGAAGCATAAATTTTAATTTTATGAACACTTAAGTTTATTAGCATGTGGTCTATTGCACATGCTAAAATGTTCTCCTTAAGAATAATTAAACATATCATGGAAGAAAAGTGCAACTAAAATTACAATTTGGGCCACTGAAATTATTTATGTTGCTAAAATGATGCAAAAGAAAGGAAACTTAAAAGATGGCTATGTGTATAGCTACCTTTAAGGTTTTATTTGCACATATTTACTTTAAAGTCTTATTTTCAAAGAAACTGGGTTTTTTCCCCCCACAAAGCGTTTGTCATAAATTATCTTCTGTGTACTTCAAAATAATTTAGTGCTATCCTTTAATCATAGATTTTTTTAGGGTAAAGAAGAAAATAAATCAAACAATACAAAAATAAATATATAACATTCTTATTGTGTACAATATAACAGTCTCATTTGATCAAATTAGAATTATAGAACTTGACTTCTTAAGTAGAATTGTGGTTTGTGTCTCCCACATAATACTTCACACACACACACACACACACATAATTTTTTTCTGGATGGTAGGATTACAGTACTTTTTAAAAAATTTTTTGTAAATGTTTAAGTGCTTTTGTCCCTAACTTGTATATTGCCAGTTCTTTCTGTTTTCTAAAAAAGTATTTTATTGTGGTTAAATTTTCATTTATTAATTAAATCCCATAATCAGAAACCTTGCCTGTGAGTTTAGAAAGGGCATTTGATTATTGGTTTCCTTTTTTTGATCCTTAAAAATAATCCAGTCCTACAGAAGCTTTCAGTTTTGCTGAATATCTGCAGAATTATTGAAGATGTTAAAACATGGGATATATAACCTTCATATTGAAAGATAATTTATGGACAAAATAAAAATTTGAATGATTCAGATAATTAATTTTCAAAAAATGGAGCCCTTTTGTCAGAAAACCTAAGGCACTTATTTTTTCAGGATCTGATTATACATTAGTATGCATTGCACAATGCGATTTCTGAAAAATGGTTCCCTTTAAGGTAATGACTTCCTATAAACACTTTCATGTTGTCACAAAGAACCTTATTTCAGGTTAAAACTGGAATTCTCATTTCTCATTTTGCTTATGTCTTTATTGGGAGCACTATAATTATGTTTAAATGCAACATACACTACTTTATATTGTTCATTTGAAATTCATGTTCATGTGTTATGATTTGTTTACTTGTTGATGCATGTAAATTAGGTGCATTTTGTTGTCACTGTATGTTAAATGGTGACCAATGTTTTTACAAAAGAATTGAGCAAAAAAGTCTTCTAAGAAATTTGGAATGTAGTTTTGACTTTGAAATTTGATTTTCTGTCTAATCTCAGTCTGGCCCTAGTTTTTCTGTCATTAAGGGAAATAAGATTAACAAATGCTGAAAGAGTAAAATGGAACTATTTACCACCTCTCTGAAATCCACACTTGAGATACATTACAGATTATGAGAGAAGAATGATCCCATATTGACATCTAATAGGATGTCCAAAAAAAGCTTTAGGTGGAAGGATTAACGCAAATCACACTGATGGGTATTTACAGCAGAGATATCCAAGCCTTCCATATATTAACACTACATTTACTTTATCGTTTTCTCAAAAAGGTGAATTTTGAAGGTAATGGAAATTTATCTTTTCATCAAAAGTCCGTGTAAACCATTTTGAAGCGAATTTTCCTCATTTTATTTTTTTTATTGAAGTACAGTTGATCTACAATATTGTATTGATTTAATGTATACAGCATAATGATTCAGTAGTTAATCTACATTGTTAAATGCTCACCCCAGCTAGTGTAGTTACTGTCAACATAAGTCTTCCTGATTTTACAATTATATTTTCTTGCCACATTAAAAGAGTGTATTAAATGTAATCTTTTTAATAGTGGCTAAGCATCATCTTCATGGACATTAATATTGTGCTTTAATGAAGTACCTTAGGAATCTGGTTTTTGTAGTTTTTCATATTCCTCCCATTTTTTTACTACTCTCTCTCTGGCAACTGCTTTATCTCTCTAACCTGCTGCTTCTCAGCTGTATGGACTCAGAAACTAGATGCCAGTGTTACCATAAATTATTCAGGAAATATTACAATATAGGTTATGGAACTTGAGTGAGATGATGATGGTGCTAATGATGATGATGATGATAATAAATATAATGTTAACTCCCTTTTATCATGCACTTATTTGGTGCTATGTAAATACTTTACACATACCACATTCAATAACATTATTAATAACTTTAATAACAACATTAAGTTGGTGCTATTATTATCCCTGTTTTATATTGGGTATAATATGGAGACATGGAGAGGTTAATTTCCCCTTGATGTCACTACTAATAAGTGGGTTGGACTCTGACTTTGTCCAAGTGTGAAGTCTGTGCTCTTACCTGCTATTCAATAGGGACACCAGTTGCATGGACTTTGTAACATCTGTTCTCTGCTTAGGTTCCTTTTTACCTCCAGATTTGTGGAGTTATTTTCTCATCTATAACCTAAGGTAATTGTACTTATATTCTCACAGTTCATTTAAGAAGTTCTATTTTTGGGACTTGGACATTACTAATACTGTGTGCTTCGAACTGTTTAAGGTGCTGAGCGAACAGCCAGAATATCCCCAGACTCTTGGAGCTTATTCTGTGGAGGGCCTCGGTAGGGCAAGATAACACAGAAAAGCAAATAAACACTTAAATATCTTTTTATGTCAGAGGGTGACGAGTTCTACAGAGATGAATGAAACAAGGTAAGAGGGATAGAAAGTACCAGTAGTCACATGGGTTATTTTTATAAAGGGTGGTCAGGGAAGACCTGAGAAGTAAGAGCATAACACAGATACCTACAAGGAGAAGTTAGCACACTAGGTTCTAGAAAGTTGATATTAAGGAAATCTCAGACATATGAAATATACTTCACGTTGGAATGCATTATAAGATTTTTTGGTTTTGCATTATTAATATTTTTGGATTAAGTCTAAGTTTTAACATTTAAATATTAATTAATACTCCCTGAGTATTTACCAGCATCAGCAGAGGGAAATGGCCCAGAAACCTGAGGAAGCCGCCCCAGAACTCAAAAAGTCAATCAATAATATATCAGCAACTAATTTAGGGTTTATTGTTTGCTTATAATGAAACTTTAACAGATCACTTGTTTTTACTAAAGCAATAAATGCTAATGGTATGTTATATGAGTTGTAACACTGAAATTAGTTTTTTCTTTTCTTTTAGAAATGCAGTAGTCATTAAAGCAGAGACATATAATGTTTTAATTCTGAAGTTTCCAGGACTTTCAGGGTCTACTTATCTTATGCTGACAGCCTTATGAAGCACATGGTTTTTGTATTGGTTTTTATATGAAACTTTATACATCAAACATGTTAATGCCTTTGATAAATCTATGAATGAAAAAAATTTGAGCAATTTTTTTATTGGCACAAAGATTAAAAAGGTAGGTTAGGCATCTGAGAGATTATATAATTCTACAACTACAAGTCACTTTTTATTTAAGAATGAAATGTGAGAATGATGACTGATGAATTAAACTCAAAGGAACTACTTTGGGGGATATGGGGAGACCCCTCAAAAATTGTAGGATAAAGGAATTTTCTGTGAGAATTGTGAAATTCAGTAAAGATTTGGCATTTAATGATACTATGAAGACTATCTGTTTGTGTAGCACTTTATTGTTTAAAATAACTATGCAGATGCTAGACGTAAATGGGGTTTGAGAGGTAGTTGAGTCTAAGAAAACTGAGGTACCTTAATTAACATTAAGATTTTTTCCTTGTGTGTCAGCCCCACCATCACCATTCCCACTCTGTGGCCTGGCGATTCCTCTGTACCTCTTTCCCTTATGTCTCAAGTGCATTTGTTCCCTTCTTTATTTTCTCTGCTTTCCCCCAACCTCAGAGGGATGGAAGTGCAGTTTTTACAACGTATTTTATGTCCCATACAGTTACTTTAAAAGCATGTAAATCAAACATTTTCTCTTTTTTTCCTCACCCCGACATGGGAAGAGGAGAACACATCTAGGTTAATTTAGTCTTTTTTTTTTTTTTGCATTAAACAGCCTGCTTATTTCTATAAAATTAAGAGGGAAAAGTACTCCTTTCCATAACCCAGATATTTACCATTTCCATTGTTCTTCATTATTTCCTAAATATCCATGTTCTTCATTATTTCCTAAATATCCAGGTTTCAATCCATTTCATTTCCTATCACACTGAAGAAATTCCTTTGGCACTTTTTTGTAGTGCAGACCTGCTGGTGAAAAAAGTTCCTTAGTTTTCATTGACCTAAAAAAATGTTTTGATTTAACCTTCATTCTTCGAAGAATATTTTTGGTTGATGATAAAATTCTGTTTTGATACTTTCTCCCTCTTCTGGGCACTTACTTTATTAAGTGTTATTTTTGTTCTTATTTTGTTAGAACAAGACAGATCCTGTTCCATGGTCTTTTGGTCTTCATACTTTCTTGTGATAAGTCAGTTTATTTCAATCATTGCTCTTCTGTATTTTGTTTTTCTCTGCATGCTTTCAAGATTTTTATCTGGCTTTCAAAAGTTTTACTATAGTGTGCCTAGGTATAGTTTTATTTATATTTCATCCAGCTTGTGGTCTGCTGAGATTATTGAATCTGAAAATGTATGCCTTTCACCAAATTGAGGGTATTTTTAGCCATTTTCAAATTCTTAAAAATTAAATATAGTTGATATACAATATTCAGGTATATAACATAGTGATTCAACAATTATATCCATTTCTAAATGCTTCTCACAATAAGTGTAGCTGCTGTCTGTCAACATACAAACATATTTCAATATTATCAACTGTTTCCTATGCTATACTTTCATTCCCATGACTATTTTATAATTGAAAGTTTGTGCCTCTTCATTCATTCTCTTATTGTTAGCAGCTTTGACAGTCCTTTTTGCCATACTGACTCAGGAAAAGAGCCCACATTTCATAAGAAGAAAAAGATGTGACTTACTGTGCTTTAAATGTCAGCACCACAAAGGGCAGGATCTCATCTGTCTTGCTCACTTCTCTATCCTGAATGCTCCATACAGTGCCTGACACACAGTAGATGTATAGTAGATATTTGTTAATGAGTGACTCATTTCTACCCACATCACTATGATCTCTCCAGCTACTTGAATTCGGGCTTGACTCCCAGCCCGTTCTGTGTCAGTACTAAAAAACATATTACTTCCTATATCACATTCCATATCACTTCTGAATTAACCACGTTTTTGCTTCAAGTAGATTGGTTCATGGTTCATCTTCTATTGGCAGTTCTCTAGGCCATTGTTTTATAATACACAGTTGAATGCTTAATGGTAAATACAGAGCATGTATACATTCAGTGTTCTACTGATTATCAAGGAAATAAATATTCTTTGGTTTGACATGATTTATTCTTATGAACTTGTGTTGGAAGCCAATGGTTACACGTTTTTTTCTACTTAATCTCTTCTAACTTTTCCTCCTGAGGATTAATACCAAGTATACTAGTCTACAATTTTTAGAACTTCTATGCTCCCTTTCTCTTTTCTCTTTTCTGAACATGGCATTATTTACCCAACTCTGGGCTTAATGGATGGTACTTTTACTGATGTCATGATTTCACAAAGAACAGCTTTGTAATTGTATCTTAAATTCTTTCAATATCATAAACCAAAGATTTTAAACTTTGAAAAAAAAATATTGAAGTTCCTCAAAGAGCTTTTGTTTATGAGGGTTATGTAAACATTTACCATGTTAGAAATTGACAAACTACAAAATATTTATTTACTAATTTATTTTAAAATAACAATAAACCAATTTCATGGTAACATAAATAGTACATATTTTATGAAAATTATTTTCCAAAACAGTAATTAATGAGAAGAATAATGTTTTACACTCTTTAATATCTGGCTTAATAGAATACAGCCAGATTCTCACATCTGTTTCTGCATTCATTCTGTTTGCTATGTTGTTTAAAGTATATGAAGAAAATTTAGCCTCACACAGATACCTTGTTGGAAAAGGGAGGAATGTTTTAATAACCTTTTTTTGTGACTGTAGATTTATTCTTGGACACTGTACCAACACTGAACAAGGGGTAATTTCTAAATAGTTGGTTGCAGTGTAGACTCTAACACCATATGATGAAACTTTGCACTGAGTTACATTAAAACCCATTGGTCTACCTTGCATTTTGACTGAATATTTTTCCCATGCCTGATTTTTATAACATCATGCTTTTGATATTTGGAAACTAGTGGCTCACTGAATTATGCAGGTCTCCCAAATGTTAATGTTTCACCATATAAAATTAAAAATCATGTTTAGTATGAACAGCAATCTCAAAAAAAAAAGCCTTTAAGTATTAAGCTATGAAGTTCATATGGCAGACCCATATTTTCCAAAATTTTTATTTTCACTGGAAAGCTTAAATTTTATCATTGAGAATTCATACCATTAGTTCTCCTTAGAATAACAGTTTTTGTTTGAAAGAATAGCTGCCAAATACCCAACTATGAATAACCTAATTTACCTCGCAATTCAGGACAATCTCACAGTTGCTTTTCTTCAAGACAACCATCATATTTTGGTATTCCCAGAAGTACTTGGTGCACACTTCCCACTTCTATATAGAATATTAAAAAGTCACGATTTAAATAATTCTCTGCTTTATCAAGGACATTGAGTGAAACTTCTTCTTCCAACTGCAAGTGCATGGCAGTGAAAAATACAGTGACTCCTAGTGCTTTTGTTCATGCTGAAATGTTTGCACTTTTACCCATAGTTGCTTTTGCACCATCATGTTTAACTTGGAGGTATGTGAGCACAATGAAAATTCTTATAAGAATATGTAGTTGGAGTCTCATAAGGGAGAATGGGAAATTTGAACAAGTTCAGGAAACCAAAGCAGTGAAAAGGGTAAATAAAGTCTTAGTATATTATGAAAATGTTTTTGATCTCACAGACTGAAAAAAAAATCAGAAGTCAGCAGACCACACTTACATACTTTGGGAACTGCTGCCCTAATTTTCCTAATTAGCTTAGATTAGGTTTAGCTGTAAGTAACAACCCCCCTCCCCAAATAACATAGCTGAAGCCAGATGGAAATTTATTTCTCTTTCATATAAAATTATTGTGGCATGTTATCCAGGGCTAGTATTAGGGTTATGCTCCACAAAGTTAGAGACCCATTCCCATTTTCCTACTTAATCATGTTTAGCTTGTGTTCTCAAAGTTACTTCATGATTAAAATGGCTGCCTCAGCCCCACCTCTTATATCCACACTCTACCCAGGAGTAATGAACTAAAAAGTAAAGGGCTTAAACCAACTTTTAAGTTGCCACGTGATTCATCTACATATCTATATGATCTCCATCACCTGAATGCACTGTGAATCTATTCTCTTTAGCCAACAATTGGAAGAAGAGAATATTTTGGGGGAAATTAGCTGTCTATCAGAGTCCACTACTTTGGCTACCAAGTATTCATGCCTTACCTTTCTCCCAGTATGGAAGACACCCATCCAGAAGGGATTTTGCTCAAGTTTCCAAGCAGAGACTGCACTCAACTCTGGAATGTACCATTCACTCTGAAGTCTTGAACTGGCTCTTTGGTATCTGATAACCTATAAATGAAAAAAGCCCCTACACAGCCAGTATGCAGTAATGATTTCTATTCAGAAATGAAAAGAATAAGCAACACACCTGTCACTTGTTGCTAAGAATCATTTATTCTACCACCATGATTCCCTAGCTCACCTATTTGAAGCAGTGGGAACCTGCCAAGGCATAACTCCAAAGAGGAGTGAACATTTTAGAAGTAAGCTGATTTCTAAGACTGCTTTCAGATTGGGAACATTTGTCAATTCTGGTTGTAGGCAAGGGGCTGATAATTTGGGGTTTTAATTTTTTGAGGCTTGCTTCTAGGAGACAGAAACCTAGAAGACTTTTGGTAGAGATATGGAGGGGACTCAAGCATGTACAATTTCCCTTGAAAAAACTAGCAAAATTATGGAGCTCCTTAGGACAGAAGACAAAATTAAACAAAAGCCTCATGAAATAGAGATTAAAATTCAGGACTGCCAGAAAAAGGGGATCAAGGGAATATCCTAGGTTATCATTAGGAAACTGAATGTAGGGGATAGTCAAGATAGAATGAACCTTTTATGAAGATTAGCAAGTCTGCCTTGATTTGCCATGATTTCTGGTTGGATTAAGTCACCACTCTATTGTCCCAGCACAGGGAAGGATGTCCTTCCTCTCTGAAGGAAAATACCACTAGAAACCTTTTATATATAAACCTTTTATATATAACGCATGGGAATTAACTGAAGATTACTAGATATGCCAAAAGAGGACCACAGGACCAAAACTAAGAGAAAGACACAGGAAAGACCATGTATAATCCAGATAATGGAGTTAATTGACAACTCTAAAATAACCATTATTTTTGTTTGAGACAAATTACGGAGAAAATCAAAAAGTAAAGATTCTCATTAAAAAATTATTCTATAAAAATGGAATTCTAGAACTATATATAATATCTGAAACTAAGAACACATTAGGTAGATATAATAGTGGGTTGGCACAGCAAAAGATAGAATTAGTGAACTGCAAGATAGGTCAATAGAAAACACTACATATTGAATCATAGGGAGAAGAAAGTATGGAACAGATAAGAGCTTTGGACGTATGTGAGCACATAAAAATTCTTTCAAGAATATGTAGTTGGAGTCTCAGAAGAGAGAATGGGGAATTTGAACAAGTTCAGGAAACCCAAACAGGATAAAGAAAAATAAAATCATACTTGACACATCACAATAAGCCAAACTGTAAAGTAAACAAACATCTTAAAGACAACCACAGTGGGGAAAGATATCTTCCAAGAAGCAGCAATAGGACTAAAAGCTTCCTTCTCCCACAGAAACAATGAAAGCCAACAAAGACAATAGAATTATACCTTTAAAGTGCTTACAGAAAATAATTGCCAGTCTATAAATCTATACCCAGCAAAAATGACCTTCAAAAATCTAGGTGAAATGAAGCTGTTTTCAGACAAACAGCAAGGAATTTATTGCCATCAGCCTTCAAACACTAACCAAAATAAAAGCTGGACATGTTATACCAGTATCAGATAAAGCAGGATTTTTGGCTTGCCTTCTCACTTTCTTAATGCTGTCTTTTTATGAACATAAATTCTTAATTTTAAGAAAGTCCAATTTATCAATTTTTCTATGATAAGTACTGTTTATGTCCTAATGTAAGAGATCATTTCCAACTCTAAGGACATGAAGATGTTCTCTAATGTCTTCTAAAAGCTTTGTTGTTTTACCTTTCTCATTTAGATCTACCAATTCATCTGGAATTGATTCTTATAGATAGCTTGGGGCAAAAGTTAAAATAACATTTTTTCTATATAGCTATTTATACTGATTTAGTACTATTCATTGAGAAGATAATCCTTTCCCAATAACTGTACAGTGTCAATTTTGTAGTAAGTCAAGTATTGTGTGTGGTAAGCAGAATAATGCCCCCCCCAAAGATATCCATGCCTTAATTCCCTGCTTGCATATCATGGCAAAGGGGCTTAGTAGATGGAATTAAGGTTGTGGACTTTAGAGATATTATCCTGGATTAAAGTGAAAGAGGAAGGCAGAACATTCAGCAACAGAGATGTAGCAGATAAAGATTTGAATCATGAGAAAGGCTCAATTTGCTGTTACTGGCTTTGAAGGTGGAAGAAGAGAACCATGAGCCAAGGTATATGGCAGCCTTTAGAAGCTGAGAACAGGCTTCAGCTGATAGCCAGCAAGGAAATAGGAACCTTAATTGAAGGACTCAATCTCAAGGAAATGAATTCTTCTAACAACCTGAATGAGGAAAGAAAGAGATTCTCCCCTAAAGCCTCCAGAAAGTAACAGCCCTGGTGACACCTTGATTTTGGCTTTGTGAGACTCTAAGCAGAGAAACCAAGACTCTAAGCCAACCTCACCAGACTTCTGACCTACAGGCCTGTGAGTTAACAAATCCGTGTTTAAGCTGACAAATTTGTAAAAATTGTGTTATGACAACAGTAGAAAATACAATATATGGGTGGATTTTTTTTCTTCTGGATTCTTTGTTCTATTCTGTTGGTCAGTTGTCTATATATTTTGCACCAATTAATATAATCACTTAATGTCTTAATGTAGTTTGACATCTGGTAGTTTAAGTCCTTCATTTTCTGTTTTCTAAAATGCCTTGGCCCTTTATATTTCTATATAAAATTTGAAATCAGCTTGTTGAACCCAGTCCACCCTCCTCGCCCTCTCCCCGACCTCAAAGAACCATAGTTTCTCTGTACATTCTTTTATATTTTCCAGATACATAATCATGTAGTCTTCTAATTGTGATAGTTTTATTTCATCCTTTCTGATCCTTAGCTCTTGTATTACTTTTCCCTGACTTTATACTTTGGCTAGGATCACTAGTGCAATGTCAGTAAAGGACATTTTTTTGTTAATCTAAAACTGAAAGTTTTCAATATTTCACCACTAACTGATATTTGCTGTAGGTCTTTTTAATAAATGCCTCTTACTATTAAGGAAGTTAATTAAGATTAAGGAAGTTCCCTTCTCATCCTAGTTGGTAAGGGTTTATTTTTAATCATGAACCGGTATTGAATTTTATAAAGTGCTTTTTATCTACTCAAATAATCAAGTAATAGTTCTCCTTTTATTTGTTTATGTGGTGAATTATATACCTACTTGGTAGTGATATATCATTCTTTTTATCTATTGCTGCATTCAATTTGCTAAATTTTTGCCAGGATTTTTCATCTGTGTTCCTGAGACTGATTGGCCTGTACTTGTTCCTTTCTTGTAATATACTTGCCAAGTTTTGGTTTCAAGGTATGGTGGTCTAATAAAATGTTACCTTTTTTTCTTTTCTCTGGAAGAGTTTTTTCATAAGATTGATGGTATTTCTTCCTTACATGTTTGGAGGAATTTACCAGTGTGGCCTTCTGGGCCTGGAAATTACCTTTTGGGAAGATCCTAAATTAGATTTTTAATTATATATATATATATATATGTGTGTGTGATTATCCATGTTTTTCCATTTCCAGGAATTTGTCCGTTTCATCAAAATTTTTAAGTTTATTGATATATAGTTGTTTATTTATATTATTTTTATTCTTCATATTGGTCTGGG